GCACACATCCACAGACACACGGAGAGGAAAAGAAACCGCCTTTTTCGTCGTGTGAGTGGATGGATGGATGGATGGATGGATGGATGGACGTGTTGACAGGGATGCGTACCATGTACTGCCGTATGGCCTCCGGCTGCTTGAGGGAGATGCGCATCGACGTCACCTTCTGCACCTCTCGCCACCCGAGTTTGATGGGCAGGAAGAAGGGCCGCAGCGGCGGGTGCCGCTCGAGGCCGCCATGGGCAGCGCATCTCAGCGGCCCGCCCCACCCCGCCCAGTCGCCCCCCTTCTCGAGTATCCACGACAGGCCCAGCAGGTACTTGGGCAGATTGGCCGGCGACACATCTGCCGCATCCTCCATGCGCACGACGTCCGTGAGGCCTCGCGTGCTGATGAAGGTCTCGATCCGGTTGGTCAGGAAGTTGGTGTTGACGATCGCGCGGAAGGCTCTGCACACGAGCCGGACGCGGCACATGTCGGTGCCGAAGGGCATGTAGTTGGCTATGTTGCTGATGCAGTCGTGTGGCAGGTCGCCGAGGGACCGGATGGAGGTGAAGCCCGTGAAGGGTGGAGGTGGTGTGGACTCCTTGTACCAGAACCCAGAACTCACCTAATGAGACCAGCACACACGCAATATGGATGCCAAATGCACAAACCATGCCTCCCCCCTGTTTGCCTACGGCTTTTGGCGGGAGCTTCTTGAACGGCGTGTAGACGTTGGGCACATCCACGACGAACATCTCAGTGCTGTGGATGGCCCTCATGTGCACGCGGGTCTTGCCGGCGCCCGATGGTGCCGTGGCGTACACGGCCGCCTCCACCCAGTCGTATCTGTCGTTGACCTTGACGTCGGACACCAGCAGCACTCTAACCCCCTCCTTGTACCGACACGCACGCAACGCCTGATGGATGGACGGGGTGGGATGATACAGAGAGCAACAAAGAAGGAATGCACGAAGGCGAGGCGAGATTTGTGCTGTGCTGTGGAGTGCTCTGCCCTCTCATCCGTCGCCCCTCACCTGCCCATGACGAAAAGAAGACGGCCGCATCATGGCACCGGCTCAAGAGTAGAGGTGCTCAATGCGGCAATGCCATCAGCTAACGGCGGAAAGGCTCGGATCTCGGCCGTCCGTTCCGTTTACTTTAGGGTTTGCGGGGTTTGACTGCATCCTTCTCGGCTCCTCAGTATAATGGACGAGAGCACGCCAGGGCAGCCCCGGGCCCGAGCGCGTCCTCTGAGGCGGCTGTTCAAGCCAGCTGCAACAGAGAAGAGGACAGAGCCCCGCGTCACAGATCCCGCGCAGGACCGGGCTGACGACAAGAGGGCAAGGAGATGCCAAATCCGCTGCCCTCGCTCGCCTGATCTGGTGTGCCCTTGCCACGAGCGTCTGACGGAGCCCGAGCGGCGGGCGTTGGAGAGAATTAGGGCCGCGGGCGGTGTCGTGTTTGATGAGGGCAACGAGGTCCACGAGGTCCGCTTGGCCAGGCTGTGGACGCTTCTCCGCCCAGGTGAGATTTGACGAGGGGGGAAGGAATGGTCTGGATGGTCTCTGTTGTCGTGTACAGATGAGGGTGTTTGCCCGAAGTCGTCACTGCAGTGGAAGGGGCTAGGCTTCCAGGGCGAGAACCCGCGGACAGACTTCCGCGGCGCTGGGCTGCTGGCCCTCCAGTGCCTCGTGTACATGGCGGAACAATATACTCAGGTGCGCAGGGGCGATAATGTTACAAACAGGTTGATGGGCCCGTTGCTGCCATTCCCTCTTTATGTGTTGTTCAGGATTTGTTGCTGTTGGTAGAGGAGTCGGCTTCGCTGCACCACTATCCTGTGGCCGCGGCACTCATCAATGTCACGGTGAGGGATATGCATAGCCCGCCATCAATGTGGTGGTCCATGGGGCCTCCGTCTTCCTTGTGTGTTGCAATGCAGCACTTCTTGGTGGTATTCTTGCGGCTGACGGAGCCGTCGATTCGGCACCTGAGTCCAGCCAAGCCCAGCAGACCGGCGAATAAACGGTACAAAGATATCAGTCAGTCCGGAGAGACATTCCACACAAACACACGCCTCGCCTTGCTATGTGTGTGTTCGTGGGCAGGTGTATCAAGGCCTTCGCGCGGCTGGCCGTCGACCCCACGAAATTGAGCTCGACGAAACAGGGCACCCACTGTTCTTTCTCCCTGTCCCCCTTGTCTGTCTGTGTCAGTGTGCCTTTGAGGAGCTGTTTTGCGCGTCGGCTCTGTTCCTGCACCGCTCGTGGAAGCAAAAAATGTCAGCGGGGGCCTCTGGGGGGTTGAGGACACTCCGACATGGATGGTATGTGGATGGATGGTTTCAGGCAGGCCGGGTCGGGCAGCATCACCCTGCTGGCCTTCAACTCCACCTTCTACACACTGCAGGTGAGGCGGCTGACCCACACCATCCGTCCATGCAGACCACGGCTGACGTGTGTGTGTTGTCTGGATGTGCCTGCTGCCTGCAGGAGGGTGTTCGTTGGATGCTGTCTCAGCGTCCGTCGGGTGTGGGTGACTTCCACCGAATGCTCAGCCAACACCACACGAAGAAGGACAAATGGGTGTGAAGCCCAGGTAGCTGCCAGCGACAGTGTGGATTCGACGTGTGCGTCGAAGGATGGACGACAAACTGTACATATTTGCGTGTGTGGATGGACCGACATGTTGTGGTCGACTGACTTAACACCAAAGCACGCAGTGAGCGTTCGAATTGATGGCAAGCAAGCCTTCCATTCCACGGAAAGCCGAGCTCGCAGTGCTCAGCCGACACGAAACACGCACACGTGGACGCACAGCGCACATGCATGGATGGATGGACGGATGGATGTGACTTGAGAGGGAAGGAGAGAGGAAGGGCCTCTGCCGTGCAGGCAGAGGAATGGATGAGACAGGTGTCTGGCTCGCTGGATGGCTGGATGGCTGGCTGTACGCGCCGAATGAAGAAAAAAACCCACAAGGCACACATCCAGACACCGCACGCACACACGGATGGATGGATGGACGGTTTATTAGCAGCGACGTGTGTACACAAGCAGCACGAAAAAACCCTATCGTTGCGCGTGAGTGTGTGAGCGGTCACTAAACGACACGGACGAAAACACGTATGCACTTGACAGCAAAAAGTGACGCCAAAACATGCAGACAGACAGGCCAATCTCATCTCATCTCATCTCAGCAAAATGCCGGCAAAGTGCGTGCCGACCTTCTCCACCGGCTCTGCAAGGGCGTTCTTGAGGTAGCAGCATGTGCCGGTGCCGGTTCCTTCGCAATTTCTGATGTACTGGTAGGCCAGGCAGTCGTCCGTCTCGACGCACTTGTTGGCACACTGGCCCTCCTGCAGGTTGCGAAAGGGGTCGCCCTCGTTGATGTTGTTGCCCTCGCCGTAATCCATGTTGGGCTTGACCGCAAAGCAGTGATCCACATCGCCGAGGACCACCTTCCGACCAGAGAAGACCTGACATGACCACACACAGAGAGAGGCGGAAACCCCCATCTGTGTTGGACTGCTTGTGTGTGGCTGGTATGCTCTCCCTCACCATTTCTGCGCCCCTTTCGACCGCCTTGAGTGACTTGAGGTAGCAGCAGTTGGCCTGGTTGCCGGTGCACTGAGGCAGGAAGGTGTACCCCCCACACATGGTGTCAGCGAGACACGCCTCGGCGCACTCGCCCTCGCTGTAGTCGGGAAAGGGCTCCTTAACGAGGTCTTCGCCGAACGGCAGGTCGTTCAACGGCAGAAACTGGAAGCACTCCACATTCTCTGGTCAATCAATCAGATGGAGACATCGCCGTGTGTGGGGGTCGATCGTGTCTATGTGGCTGTGGCGTACGTGAGCATCCGATGTCGAGCTCGAGGAGGCCGGATGAGCCGCCCAACCCACCCGCGACAATGTAATAGGTACCCGCACCGAGGGTCCTCTTGATAGCTGGCCGACACACACACACACACGCTCGCACCCCAATGCACAGCGATGCGATGCCTGCCGTCTCTTTGGCTTTCTGCGTGTCGCTCACAGGCGCACTCGTAGTTCCCACATGCGGCGGGCGAGATCGCGGCACCTTGGCTCTCGTCACTTGTGGCAATGCACGACGACGCCCCGTCCCCCGAACAATCGCTCACCAGGGCGACCATGGCGTTTGGGACGGAGGTCTGTTCTCGCGGCACCGTCAGTGCGGCGGCGACTGTCTGTTTGGAGGGGATGGTGGATGGGGGTATTCTGAACTTGAATATGCGGGTGTGGGTGCTGGCGTTGAAGGACCCGCAGTTGCTTAGGAAACCTGTGCCGGCATCTGCAGCCGAAGACACACGGATGGCACATGCTATGCATTCAGAATGAGGGCGCGGCGATCTCGCTTTGCCTGTTTCTGAGGGTATGTGGGTCAGGATGGTATCGCCACAGCCGTACTCCTTCTCCTCGACCACCCCATCCGCAACCAGCGATGCATCACACTCTGCATTGCAACCAACCACACACAAAGCCAATGAATGCGCGCCATGCCAAAGGTCTCCCACAGCCCGTCGGCGCTCACCAGCGAAAGTGCTGTTGGGTGCCTGCGGTAGCATTTCGCCGTTCATGAGGGCAAATGTCGCCGTAAAGGCTCCTTCCAGGTGCTCGACACCATCGTAGGTGAGGGGGATGGCCGTCACGGACACCTGACGCTCCTGCTCTTCCATCAGGCTGGCGACATCCTCGTCAAAGCACGACAGCACCTTCTTGCCACTGCCACCGCCACACAGAAAAAAGGGCTCCATAGCTGAACGAAAACACACCACAGCAAAAGGCAGACAGGTGTGTGTGTGGATTTGCGTGTCTGTGTGTGTGATCCCCGGTCCGCTCACTGTCTAGTCTGGTGGTCCATCTGGTATGATCGCCAAGGGTCATCCGGAGGTCCTGTGTGGCGAACCGGACGGCCTTCGTGGATGCCGTCGTCTCGGCCCGCACGTTGAACAGCGGAAACCGTGGCAGGTTGAGATTCACGACATCGTTCTGCATGTACGTGTGGCGCAGCAGAGACTCCGACTCAGAGGGAAGGTGCGTGTCGCTGGTCACGGTGATTGACAGCACTTTCGGCTCCGCGTCTAACACACACACAAACATACAGATATTCTCTCCTTTCCTCTCGGCGTAAGTGTAATCAATCGCCTGGCTTACGTGGGTCGAGGTTCTTGATTCGGACGGGAATACAAGGAGGGGGCCGTCGCACTCCGTTCTCGAAACACAGGTTGTTCGCCTTGAGGATCGCATCATCACAGCACTCTTCGGACCCTCCCGCCAGCATGTCGCATCCGGTCTTTCCGCATGACCCACACGTCGTTGGGCAACACACCGTCCGCTCAGCGTTGAGAAGCCCGGGGGCCGCCTCGCACGACGAGTAGGTGGGCGAATAGTCTGCAGACACAATAATGAAAATTGTTGGGGAGCTGTGGCTGCAGAAGGGTGAGGTACAGAAACACCCATACTGTCTGCTATGCAGGGTGCTTCGCCCTCATGGCAGGAGCGGCCCGCTTCGGCTATCTTCTCGGGACAGCAGCCATCCTCTTCTTCCGCCCGGGTGCCGCAGCTGGACGCGTCGCACTTGCTGCACCCCGGGGCACAACATGCGAACCTGCGGCCCACCACAAGATGTCACATTGTCACGTGCGCACCGATGGATGTGGTGCTCTTCCACTGACCAGGTGGGGTCCAATGTGCCCCCCAGCTCATTGCAAACAGTCGTTGAGAAGAGCAGGTGATTCTCACCGTTCCCATCAGCCGCTATTGGATAGCGCTGCACCTGCTGCACCTCTGCCCGCAGAGCCGCCCTTGCAGCCTTCCCTTCATCACACAGCGGCAGTGTGCCCTTCTGACGCCACTGCTCAGCGACGGCTGGAGAGGCGCTCTGCAGCAGCTTTTCGGGCAGCTCCTCGGCTCCACCTTCTCGGCACAGTCGGCAGCAGGAAAGGCCGAGGGCGCCGCAGCCATGCGGCCGTTGACTGCCTTCTGAGTCCCGGCAGTCGGGGTCGTACAACAATTCGTGCTTCTCGCAGGTGGCTCGCCGGCATACCTCGGCACCTGATCAAACAAAGGGGTGAAGAAGAAAGAGGGGTCCGATCAGCAGGCTCCATTCAGCTGCGTTGTCTTCCTCACCTCTCGTCTGCCGACTATCAGGGGCCGTTTGGCCGTGACCCACGACCAGAAGGCTCACGGCCAGCCTAGCGGCAAAGTGCCAGGTCATCTCCATCGCCACCAGCGGCAAAGTGTTTTCTGTACTGTACTTTTATTTTGTCCGCCGGCGCACACCCTGGCGTTTGTGATCTGAAAATTCCGGTGTCTTCCGCCGCCTCCCCCAACGGTCAAGCAACGTTCTAGAGTCCTGGCTGCTGCCGTGCTTCCCGTGATGGCCGACACGGGTGGTCACGAACGGTCCCCGCCACCTCAGCTGTGCCTTCCCAAGCCCGAGGAGGATGCCTCACCATCTTCGACCCTCGCATCGACGCCTCCTGCGAGCCCATCCCCATACCTGAAGGCTGAGGCGCCGCTGTGGGGTGCTGACGCCCGAGAATCACAGCTTTTGGACGCACAGGCGAGGGCAAAGGTCAAGGTCAGTGGGGGAGAAAGAAATGGGGTGTGAAATGTCCCAGTTCGGCCGTCTGTGTGGTGTGTGGGTCACCCAGATACTGCAGCGCAGCCCTGATGACGGCATTGACGACCCCGAGCGCCACCTCGTCCGTCAGATAGTCGAGTCGGAGGACCTGGACGACCCCTTCGTCCTTGTCGACCTCCAGAAGGTGAGAGTGGAAGGGCTGGCGCCGGGAAACAATGGTCGGCAGACACGTGATCATATGTGCGGCTCGTTGCTGTCAGGTCATTGAGCAGTTCAAGCGTTGGCGCAGGCTTTTGCCTCGCGTCACGCCCTTCTACGCCGTAAGCCTTTCGTCGCGACAATGACGCTCGCTGACTCTTTGGTGTCTCCAGGTCAAGTGCAACCCTGATCCTGTCATCATTCAGCTGATCGCCTCACTCGGAGGCTGCTTTGACTGCGCTTCGAAGGGAGAGATCAAACAGGTCGGCAGACGGACGAATTCCTTGGCCTTGTGGTCTGCGAGTATCCTCATTTGTGTGTTGTGCAGGTTTTGGATCTCGGCGTCCCCCCCACGCAGATCGTCTACTCGAATCCATGCAAGCAGGTTTCCCACCTCAAGTTTGCCCGCGACCAGGGAGTGGCACTCACGGTCTTCGACAACAAAGACGAGCTCCACAAGATCAAGGTCCATGCGTCCCTTGAAAACGAATACCTCCACAGCACACACATGTCCCTCCCTGCCTTGGCCGCGCAGGCGCACCATCCTGACGCCGAGCTGATGCTGCGCATCTGGACAGATGACAGCATGCTGTCGGAGACGGGTGCATTGTCAGTCAAGTTCGGTGCCCTGCCCGACACGTGGGGTGCACTGCTGGACATTGCCAAAGGCCTCCAGCTCAGTGTGGTACACACGACAGCTCAGCTAACACATCAATCTGCCTGCCGCAGCCCTCTTTTTTCTGCCTTTTGGAGTCTTGCAGGTGGGTGTGCACTTCCACGTGGGTTCTGGGTGTCGTCATGCGGGCGCCTTCACCGAGGCCCTCAACAATGCTCACCGTGTATTCGACTTGGCTGAGAAGCGGGGTTTCACCTTCAAGTACCTCGACATCGGTGGGGGCTTCCCGGGGGAGATGCCCGGCAGCACGAGGCATGAGGGAATGCCGCAGTTTGAGGACCTCGCGGCAGAGATCACACCTTTGTTGACCGATCTCTTCCCCAAAGAGGTGAATACACGCTGTCCATAGATGTGACACAAGCCATGTCTCCCTGTCTGCCGTGTGTGTTCTGCGCAGATTGCCGTATTGGGCGAGCCGGGTCGTTACTTCGCCACTGCGTGTCAGACGCTGGCCGTCAAGGTGTTCGCCAAGCGGGCGCCGGTGCGGCGAAAGAGTCTCAGCGCCGTCATCCGTCTGAGCGAGACACAGAATGACCAGGATGCGACGCGGTTCATCTACTACCTGAATGAGGGCTTCTACGGGGCCTTCAACTGCATCAAAAACGACAACCATGAAGCCACGCCCGAGCTGCTCAAGTGGGGCAAGAGACACGGCCAGAATCCATCTCTCTGTGTGTCTTCGTCTGTCTGTCTGTCTGTTTGTGTGTGCAGTCCGCGTGACGAGGAGACGACGACCAAGTACGATTCCCTGGTGTTTGGCCCGACGTGTGATGGCATCGACATCATCCTCAAGGAATACCCACTGCCCGAATTAAAGGTACTTCCAACCAACATGACGTTCCTCTCAGCTGTCGCCACACAAAGGCGTGTCTTTCTGTGTTTTGCCTGCAGGTCGGTGAGTGGCTGTTGTTTCGTGACATGGGGGCGTACACGACGTCTAGCTCATGCAACTTCAACGGGTTCGCCAAGGCCCTCTCGCGCTACTGCCGCATCATACCGCCCCCCTCGCCACACAGAAGACACACGCCCTCAAGAGTCGTCTGACATGATCCGCCATTTCACTATGTGTGTCTGTCTGTGCATGTATCACCTGGTTTCTGCAGTGACGTGATGTGCTAGATGTGTGTTGGATGGGAGTGAGTATCTGTCTGTCTCTGATGGATCGATCACGGGACTTTGCTGTGGGATTCTGCATGTGGGATCATTTGGTGTGTGGGAACCCCCCTGTTTCCCTTTCTTTTCTGGTTGTACTTCGGTGTACATAGCTTAATCTCAAGGCACGGCGCACGGTCGCGCAGCTAGGTCTCATCTCATCTCACCAGCGAGAAATTGCATGCACCTGTCGTGGCTATCCGTCTGCAGGGTGTCCCATACCCGTCAGCTGATCATCATTTCCACCAGCAGCGTGCGACGAAGCCACATGTTGCTGCAGCGCCAGAACAGGCGGCGGCGTCGCCCGCGGTCGGCGGAATGATCACCAGCAAACAGAGCACACCAGCTCACACTCATGCTGTCCCTTCCGATCGAACTAACAAATAAGGGACTACACCGGATGCATCGCGCCAGCCATCACACAAGACACGGCAACATTTCATTGGTGAACAAATCAGCAGCAGGAGGCAGCTGTGCGGCAGGGATGGCCTCGCCCGCCCTGTCAGTCACGATCTCGTGTTCAGCCAGGAACTGCAAGAGCTCCTGCCACCTCTCCTCCTCCATGCGGCCCCACCCACCGTCGGCTGTCAGGTAGCTGCCCGTGATGGCGTCCTGGGAGGCCGCTACGAATGCAGTGTCGGCCAGTGAGGCGTGCCGGGCCGTCTCGCACAAAAGCTTGGCCGCCTCTTGCCTGCATCATGGGGGGGAGGCAGAGAAACGACCCGTGTATCCACCCGATGCATCGATGGGTTGTGTACCTGTTGGTTTCTGCGAACGCATATCCCCGTGCAGTGGCCTTGAGGAAGCTCTTGACTGATGCGGCAAATGCAGCATCCTTCAGCTTGTCGCCCCGACACAGCAGCACTGAACAAACCACAGCCAAAAATCTTGGAAACCAGGTGTGTGTGTGTCCGTCATGTGTACCTGGGCTGTAGCCGTAGGGGACGGCATAGTCCTCAAGCTTGAAGTACGTCAGCTCACTGCCAAGCCTGACGGATGAACACCAGACAGACATGCCACGCAAGTACATGTGCGTATTGCTTGTGTGCAGCTGCCTTGCTAGGGTGAGCAGTCCATACCTTTCTGCGAGCACGCCCTCCCAGTGGGTGAAGATCCAGGTAGCGTCAGCCTTGGAGGCGCGAAGCATCGACTCGACCACAGAGGAGGCCTTCATCGTCTGACACACAGGCCAAACAGACACATGGATGGGTGGAGGGATGGGGGAAGGGATGGATGAAGCGAGTCACCTCTTGGTCTTGGTAGCCGTGGAAGTTGAGCAGCTTCTCTTCAACATCGCCCCTCCCACCATCATTCCTCACCATCTGACCCACAAGGCAGACCAACAACACTCACTCACTCACTCACTTATGTGTGCATCTCTTTCCCTCCCTCCCTCCCTCCCTCCCTCCCTCCCTCACCTGTTTGACGATGCCCATCTCGAAGCGGCCCTCGTAGGATGCGTATGCCTTGCCATCAAGGTCGCGGGGCCTCGATATGCCACTGGCCTTCATCGTCACGATGGCTGACGTCGACTTCTGCAGGAGCGCTGCAACCGCCACCAGCCTGGGCTTTGACGGTTCGGTCGTGTGGAAGCTGCATACATACACATGTGCATTGCACACGTGGTCGTGCCAGGCAGGGTCCTTGTGATGCATGTTTCCCTCTGACCTGATGGCGCTTTCGCTCGGCGTCACTGCAAAGTCCGCCTCGCCTGCCGCCACCTGGGAATGCGCACACACACTACACTCATGAACAGGCGCACACAGGGGCTGACAACCAAAGGGAGATCTTGACCTTTCGTGCTGGGGTGAGCTTCGCCTGACTGGGCTCCGATGGCGCCTCACTGCCTTGTGTGGAGGGCTCATCGGGCGAGATGCACACGACATCCAGGCCCTCCTCCTTGTACCTGTGAGGTGTACACACAGATCTTCGTGTATGCAATGCTGAACGGTACTATCCTCCTTACACACCAGCTTTTCGCGATGGCAACGTAGATGCCCGTGTGGTTGGTGTTTGGCGTCCAGTCAAGGGCAATACGCAGCTGTTGCATCACGACGGGCAGTCCTAGACCCCAGCGAGGTCTTAGTTTGGTCTAGGGCAGAGCGTGAAACGCATTAACGGAGAAGCGCCAACACCCTCCAGATTCGTTTTCACCTTCTGGAGCCCATCTTTCGTCCCAGTGCTTCGATTTCAGCCAAGATCTAGCCACTCGGATTTCGATCGGCTCCGCCTGGTATTCTCCTACCTCTCCACGCCTGCCTGCATCATCCTTCGGCACGGCAGTGCGCCGCCCGCATCTCATCTGTCGCAGCTGGACAAGAGCGTGGTGAATCTGAGTTGCCAGAGATGGCGTCCGCGGGCGATGTCCATATGCAGGATGCTGACCAGCCGATGGCCAACGGGACGCTGCCCAATGGACCTGCCATCAAGCGCGAAAGGGTGAGCCAAAGGCGATGGGTCACATACAAGGAAGGCCAGCTCGCTACACGACCAGCCACACGCGAGGACACTGGTCACGTTGTCGTTGGCTGCGATGTGCATCAGGATGAGGACGATGACGACATGCCTCTGGGTCAGGCGCTGAGGCAGCCCGCGCCCAAGAAGGCCAAGGTGTCCGCCTCGCCCTCGAAAGACGATGACGATGATGACGACGACATGCCCATCTCCTCCTCACGGCCCAAGGAGAAGCCCAAGGCCGCCGCCAAGAGGACCGACAACAAGGGCGACAAGAGGAAGGACCTCAAGCCCGACAAGGCCAACGGCGCCAGGCGGTCTCCCTCCCCCTCCCCAGCCTCCAGCGTCAAGGCCAACGGGGCGGCCAGGGCCGCGCCAAAAGGTGGGTGGAGATTCACGCACCACGCAGACCGCGCAACTCACGGTTGGTTGGAGTCCATGTTGTTGTGTGTGGTTTTGCAGCCAGGGCCACAGCCAAGCCGAAGCGTGTGATAGTCAAGACGGAGGCTGACTTCGAGCCGCTCAACTGCTGGTGGGAGAAGGAGAACTTGGGGGCCAGCAAGGGGGTCAAGGACACCACCAAGCAGGTACATACCGACAGACAGGAGAGAGAGGGCGGCCAGTGGATTGGATGGATGTGCACCTAGCGTGTCTCTCCGTGTGTGTGTGGTGCAGTGGGACTATCTGGAGCATCACGGTGTCATCTTCACTCCTCAGTACGAGCCACACGGTGTCAAAATACGATACGACGGTGAGCACCCCACACATCCGAAACACAAGTATCGCATCTCACCCATCGATGGATGCATACAAAAATGGATTGATGGATGTTGACCGCCGTGCACTCCTTGTTCAGGGGAGCCCATGGCGTTACCGCCAGATGCAGAGGAAGTGGCCAACTTCTGGTGGGTGACCGAATGAATGGGAAAGCGTGTCGGTGCATGACATGGCAGGCACGTTGGTTCTTTCCTGCCTGCAGGGCGCAGCAGCTGGATGGCGATCGTGTTGGCAAGGAGAAGTTCAGAACCAACTTCTGGAAGGCGTTCAAATCAAAGCTGCCCAAGGTGAGGGAGAGAGGATACACGTGACAACACACACGTAGCGCACTGTCATGCACTCGTCACGCTCCCTTGGTGTGTGCAGGACCACCCCATCAAGAGCATCGACAAGTGCGACTTTCGGCCGATCAAACAGGTCGGTCAGTCAGGCCGGAGTGCGTGCCATGTGTGGTGTCAGTCACATGGTGTGGTGTGCTGGTCGGTGTGTGGTGTGTGTGTGCAGCATTTGGATGCCGACAAGGAGCGGAAGAAGAACAGGTCCAAGGAGGAGAAGGAAGAGGAGAAGAAACAAAAGGCCGCATACGACGCGCCATACCAATTCGCCCTCGTCGACCACATACGAGAGAAGGTCCGTCCGCAACATGGCCCCACACCGTTCGTGTGTGCGGGCATGCATGTATATGCACGTGTACGATCTGTGTCTGTCTGCGTGTCACCCACCCTTTCAGATTGGCAACTTTCGTGTGGAGCCCCCCGGTCTGTTCATGGGTCGCGGCGAGCACCCCAAGCAGGGGCAGCTCAAGGGCCGCATTTTTCCAGAGCAGGTCACCCTCAACCTCGCCAAAGACGCACCAGTGCCACGCATTCCCAACGACGGACCCCCGGGCCATGCGTGGGGGGATGTCCATCACAACAACACCTCGACATGGTACATACAGTACACATGTGGGTGGGGTGCGTGTGGGGGGAGAGGGGGAGATGAAAGGAGGGAGGGATACGATTGGATTGATGCTCTGACTGACCTGTCTACTCTGTGTGGTTGTAGGTTGGCCTGGTACAAGGACACGATCAACGGTGCGGTCAAGTACGTCTTCCTGGGCGCTGCCTCGGGGTTCAAGGGCATGAGCGACTTCCTCAAATACGAAAAAGCCAGGAAACTCAAAGTCAGTTACTTAACCAGCACACCCATGCATGGCACCCAGCACAGTGTAGTATATATGGGTGCATCGCCCTCGCTCTTCTCCTTCTGTCAGGACTACATCGGTGCCATCCGTGATGACTACGCCAGGAAGATGAAGTGTACGCAGCGCGACACTGCGCAGGTCCATCAAGCTTGATGGGCTCATGCTGTTTGTTGTGCCTGAGTGTGTGCAGCGAAGGACCAGGAGGACCGTGAGCTGGGCACAGCGGTGTATCTGATCGACTTCCTGGCGCTGCGTGTGGGCGGCGAGAAGGACACCGAGGAGGAGGCCGACACCGTGGGCTGCTGCTCACTGCGGAAGGAGCACATCACATTCGAGGTGCGTGCACACACACGCGCAGACACACACCCACGAGATGTACGCTTGTCTATGTGTGTGTCGATCCCTCAGGATGGCTACAAGATCACTCTTGACTTCCTGGGCAAGGATTCCATCCGATACCATCAGACCAGCAAGGTCAGGCCTACGGCACACACACGACACATCCATCCTGTGCGTGTGGCTGGCATGAATGCATGTGTGTTCATCGTGTGTGTGTGTGTGTCTGTCTGTGTGTGTAGATCGAGGAGATAGCGTACCACAACCTCAAGTCCTTCTGCAAGGGCAAGAAGGACGACGAGGACATATTCGACATCGATGTGCGCGGGGAGGACGGATGACACAACACGCACACACACCTGCTGACGCCGACTGACGTGTGGTTTGTGTCATGTCAGCCGGCTCGTCTGAACAAGTATCTGAAGGAGCTGATGCCCGACCTCTCGGCCAAGGTCTTCCGGACATACAACGCATCCGTCACACTACAGCAACGTACAAACACAGCCAACAAAGGCACACACACTCATCCAAATGTCCACGTGTCTGTTGGTGCATCCTGTCCTGCGTGTGTGTCAGAGCTGGACAAAATAGGCGAGAAGGGCGTCGACGTGAGCAAGCCCGACGAGCTGCTCAGCTTCTACAACGACTGCAATAGGTGCATCACACAGACACACGCCGCTGCCACTGCTCGTGTCGAATGGGCTGCATCCTCCTACTGTGTGTGCCTTCTGTGTGTGGGTGTGCAGGGAGGTGGCCATCCTGTGTAACCATCAGCGGAGTGTGCCCAAGGGACATGCAGCATCAATGGAGAAGGCACAGAAGAAGGTGTGTGCGCGCACACGTCCATGCAGCCGACACATCCACCACCACCCCATCTGGCTCTGTGTGTGTCGCGCGTGTCGTCATGTGCAAATGCAACCAATACAGTTGGATGAGTTGAACGAGGACATCCAGGAAGTGGAGGACTACCTCGAGTACCTCCGGACCGGCAAAAAGAAGAAGACACCCAAAGTCGAAAAGAAAGAGGTCAGCCAGCCAGCCAGCCAGCCGGGCAGGCGGGCGGGCGGCACGCTACACCAGCCAGTGTCATGCGTATGTATGTTTGTCCGTCCTCGCTCGCTGTCCTGCAGGAGGGTGAGAAGGAGCGCAAGCCGGTGGTCAAGGACGGCATGAAGGAAGATGCCGCCAAGAAGAAACTGGACACACTCAAGTGAGCCTTCGACGGGAAGTGAGCAGAGATGGGGCATGGCATGGATGGGCTGTGCATTCATTGGGTGGGTGTGCAGGAGCCAGAGGTCCAAGCACGAGTTGACCATGAAGATGAAGGACGACAACAAGGCCGTCGCCCTCAGCACCTCCAAAATCAACTACATGGACCCCAGGTACCTACACATAACACACCCCCACACCCACCCACACCCACGCACCCGCACCCCAACCGACCAACCATCGTCTGTGTGCGGTCACTCAGGATCACGGTAGCCTTCTGCAAGAAGTATGAGATGACCATCGAGAAGGTCTTCAACAAGGTGGGTGTGCAAGTGGTGGATAGATAGCATGGGTGGGTGGCCACACTATCTTCACTTGTCGGTTTGTTTCACCGTGTGTGTGCAGGGTCTGCGCACCAAGTTCCCCTGGGCCATGTACAGCAAGTCTGACTTCGTGTTTTGAGTAGCCGGCCACCATGTTAGCCAGCCAGCCAGCCAGGCGATTGTGGCGCCTTCTTACGTTCGCTTCTGGTGTGTCTATGCATGCAAACCTCCAGTTGCAGCTCACGGACCCAATTCGACCGCCGTGTGTGTGAATGATCTGATTGTACCTCACCTCATCGGAAACACACAACATTGATCGATGCCATGCGATGCGATGCGATGCGATCGATGCACTCAACCATCCATCCATCCATCCACATACGCAATGATCAATGATACGCAATGATCGTCCTTCGGTCGGTCGGTCGGTCGGTCGGCCATCTGTTTGTATGTCGGGGGATCGGTAAGCCATCTATTGGTCTGTCTGTGTGCCCATCCATCCGTCCGTCCGTCCGTCCGTCCATCGATCTTCATGTGTAGGGGAAGTCGTCGAGTGGGCTGAGCTTGTCCACCTGCATGGGCACAACACCGCCTGACGCCCCGCCGGCGCCACTGGGTGACACCCCTCCCCTGTAGAAGGCACTGTGCCGCTGCTGGTAGTGATGCGCAGATGAGAACAGCGGTGGGGGTGATGGGGACGGGTGGGCCTTACGTTTGCTGACCACGCACACGCACAAAAACCAAGTGTCAATCAGTCAGAGACACCGCACATTCTGCCCAGCTCTTTGACTCTGTGTACTGTACCGTGCAGCAGCTGCTTTCGGCCGTGGTCTGGTGGGTGCGTTGGCTGCAGGCGGCAGTGAGGGAGGGCGTGGCGCATACATCGACGGTGGGGGCCGCAGCTGATTGGGAGGCGCTGGACGCAGTTAAAAGGCACACAAACACAATGAGCACCGACCACTCTACTCGGCTTGGCTTGTGTGTGTTCTACGTACGTTGGTGTGGCATTAGGAATGCAGATGCAGGTTTGAATCGCGAGAAGGACGTGGGCTGCTGCACACGCTCCTGCGCGCTGATCTTCTTGAGCAACAACGCCCTGACAGCACACAGTCAATGAGACATGGCGAAGGCAGTGTGACTGACCCTTTCCCAATCTGTTACTTCTTCTTTTGGTGTTCGATGATTTGTTTCTCAGTGGTGTCGAGTGCAGCCTTCATGTCGAGCATCTCACCGCCCAGCTGATGCATCTTATCACGGTGCTCCTGCAGCGCACAACACACGACACACATACACACACGCCACCTGTAAGGTGCGGCCGACGTGTCTCCCTCCTTCCGCCGCTGCATACCTTCATGTAGATGTCGAGTGCCTGTTTCTCAGCCGCCAGCGTGCGATTCAGCGACTCAATCTGACAAACATGTTACGCACATAAGAATGAAGCCCAAATGAATGGATGGCTGCCCGGAGCTCACCTCGGCAGCGGCAGCTTTGTGGTAGTCTTGTGCCATGTGCAGCTCCTCCTGCAGCGACTCGTTCATCTTGCAGTTCTCCTGGTGGACACACAACACCACATCATCATACCACAGCATACCATACCAAATCTGCACTGCAAGCAAACGCCCCCTCCTCCAACGCTTACCGCCTCCCCCTCCTGCAGTTCGGCCAGTGAGGGCAGAGACTCGCCTGCATCGACACACACACACGAACACTCACCGTGTCTGGTGGATTGGGGTCCCCGCCCGCCCACACACACACACGTACACAGCTGACGCTCCTTCTCGACCGCACGCCTGAATGAAATGAATGTCGACAGAAAGTGTGGTGGAGCTGTTTGTTCCACGAATGTGATGCATACTTGAGCTGTCGGACGGTCTCGTGTAGCGATGAGGCGACGAAATGCTCGTCAATGCGCTCAGCAGCCTTGGTGTACTTGACCATCGCCGCACTCGCCACCGCCTTCAACTGCACACACACGAAGAGCCATCCATCCATCCATGCAGGCAGATCCACCGCCCCACCTGATGGAAGTTGCTGATCTTGGTGTACTGCTGTCGCTTGTCCTCGAGTGACAGACGCGCATCCTCCTGCCGGCACTTGTGGACAGGGACGGCCCGTGCAAGCTCCTCAGCCCGTGTGGTGACGGGCAGGACACGGTTGAGGCGTCCGCTGCTCTCCTTCTCTTCGAGTTTGAGGTTGGTCTGCACGGCATAGCGGAGCCGCTGCAGAAGAGCGGCGTTCTCGTCCTTGAGCGCCGCCACCTCCTTCCGCTTCAGCGACACCACATCCTCCAACACTGAAAGACGCTCTGCGATGCAATCCATGGCGCTTTTCTTTGGGCGACGCGATGCGATGTAAACGCGGCGAGGAGTGGTTTTCGCAAAGGTTCGGTCTTTTGTTCAGACGCGTGTATCAGGGAGAATAGGGAGTTAAGTAGAAATGACGACATCATATAACATCCACCGTATGTCTGTCTGTGTGCCCGTCGGGTCGTGTGTCCTTCGATCTTTCTGCATATATAATTATATGAGTGCCCTCATCCATCCATCCACCACGCACCGCACGGATCATACCAGCACTCACTCCACACACCCACCACGCCGTCACCCATCCGTCATTTTTCGCTTATGTGGACGCTGAGGTCACCCGCACATGCATCTCAACCGCCACCCCCCACTACACACACAGCCGGCCGGCGTACACGCGTACATGATGTATCAATCAATCAGTCAACCAATCGAGCCGTAGGCAAGTATCCAGGCAGGCAGGCAGGCAGGCAGGCCAGGCAGGCCAGGCAGGCAGGCAGGCCAGGCAATCTTTCTGTCGGTCATCTCGTGACACATACAAACCAACCCATACCAATGCAATCCACCTCTCATAACAACACAATAAGTAAGGAGGCGCAGGCGATGGATGTGTGGTTGTCCTTCCCATTGAAAGACAAGCGTGTGTGCGTGTGTGCGTGCGTCCGCGTGATACGGCAGCAAATACATAGCCAGGCAGCCAGCTGGATAACAGGTAGGTTGATACGTACAGGCAGGCTGGGAGACCAAGGTAGGTTAGGGAAGCTCGGGCGACACCAAACAGAACCCAAGAAAAATAGAAAGGAAAACACACAAGCCAAGGGAGCCAAGGCAAGGGGAAGCAGGTTGTAGTGAGGCAACGCCCGATCGATCCCTCAAGGGCCCTAGGCGACACCTATCCGTCATTTCATATATGTCATCACTGATTCAGGGACTAGGGAGAAAGCAACCAAGGCCAGGCAGGCAGTGAGGCAGACCCGCACGGACGCACGCACTATCGAAGAGAAACACGCTTTGGCTACCTAGGCTTAGGTTGGTGGGTAGGTGGGTGGGTGGGTGGGTG